TGTTGGTGTGGATATTGCTGCTGCTGCTGCTGCTGCTGCTGATGATGATGATGATGATGATGATGATGATGATGATGATGATGATGATGACGATGATATAAAAAAAGCAGTCAAGCTAGGGGCGCATGTGGTCAGAAGAAAATCGAATTCAGCTTTCTTCATCTGTAGATAGCGATAGATATATATAGGCTCGCCTCGGTAGATAATCTATGCATTTTTCTTCATCAGGGAATATTTGGGGTAGGACACTAAATTCTTGGTTAGGTGACGACATGAGGAATGCTTCCAGTAACGACGATAATTGGAGAGATATTTCCTTTTGTACTACCACCAAAGACAGGTTTTGCATTTTACTTGTCACCGCCATTTTGCCTCACGAGCCAAAATAAAAGCGGAGCGGAGCGGATGGTATGGATAAAGACGATTTGCACGTTTCTGTTCAGACATTTCATGATGAGGAGTGAGGGCTGTGGACACCTAGCGTAAACCCTTTCACAGCCAGTCCTTCTCTGTAACCATACTAAATAGTTCTAGACAGTGTTGGGTCTGGCAGCAAAGGGGTTTACAGGCTACGTCTGTACATGCCTAACATGTGCTTTGTTTGAGTAAAGTAAAGAGAAGTACATCGACACAATAATGGTCATTATTAATATTAGTGCTGGGGAAAGGTAAGACAAGAAACAACAGAGGGGAGGTAAAGCAGTTGGATTTACCAATAGTGCCCTCCTACCACATGCCTAACAGATGAAATGTCTGGAAACCTTCTGACAAAGTATTGTTGAATGAGACTAACGGTTAACATACGTTTATCGAAGCGAAGAAAATGATTTTTTTTTTGCCTGTTGGGTAATCGCAATTTTTTTTACAGTCAATTGATTTTTAACATTTCCGAGTGGATTTTACTGAAAAACATTAATCAATGACACACTAAAAGTACATTTGCAGTTTCCAAGGATACTCGAATTTCGGAAATCAAAAAAACTTTAGCAGTCATTTTCTCGTTAATTTTACCTAAGCCTATGAAACCAGGCGACCCACTCTGTCTTCAAAGGCAAATGTCCGACTTCCAGTTACAAAGGTACCGGTATTTTATTCTTCAAAAGCGAGGCAAAGGAACGAGTATTTTAAGATTATAATCTATAATTTATATGTCGTCCACATAAATATATATATA